GGTCTGCGAAGCGAGTCTGCCTACGGACCGGTGCAAGGCTGCGTATCACTTCTTGAGGGAGCACAGCAAGTATTACCGCGTCTTCCTGACGGAACAGAGGATCCGCGCGGGCAGGGGCTCCCACCACGACGACGACGACGACGACGACGACGACGACGACGACGACGACGACGACGACGACGACGACGAAGACGACGACGACGACGACGACGACGAGAACGACGGCGACGACGACGGCGACGATGACGACGACGACGACGACGACGACGACGACGACGACGACGACGACGAACGATGACGACGAGATCGACGGCGACGTAGACGATCACGAGGTTGACCAACCAAAAAAAAAAAGAACAAAAAAAAAAACTGACAAACAAAAAAACAACAACAATAAAATAGCTTTCTGATGTCCCAGAGGATCCGTATCGAGAACCGCAGCTCCTTGAACCTGTCCTCCTACGACCTCTTTGTGGTTATGAAAGGTATCGAGTGTGCCATGTATCCCGTCTTGTACCCGACCACGGACTTCACAGATACGGGTATAATGGAGCACTACTATGCCGAGACCCAGGACAGCACGAACCGTGTGGTATCCATCGGCCTGTCTTGGACTCGGAAGGTGCTGTCCAGTGCCCGCGTATATGGCGAGCAGCGGGACCTGCCGTTCTTCCTGTACGAGAAGCACTTGGCGAACAAGTATTTCAATGCACAAGTCCGTGCCAAGAGCCTCGGCGTCACTGGGGATGTCATGTCTCGGGACTCGCAGGCGTCTGCGGGGTATTGGGAGATTGTGCAAGACTCCCTCGCTGATCTTGTGCGTATCATGCTCGTGCGCTGCTACGACGAGAAGAATTATGAGGCCCTGTATCAACACTGCCGGAATCTTCGGGGACAGGTCTGGCTGTGCGCGTTTCCGAACTTGTTCATCACCATCGCGCCCGCGGAGTGGAAGTTTCCGAGGCCGTATTTCATGGAGCCGTACCTTCGCTGTATTTTTGCTGGTGCGTATATGATGTCACTTCATATGTACTACCTGGTTCGCTGTATCTGGCTGTTCCTGGCGAACCGCTGGGGCCACAAGTACTTCATCGTTTACGAGTGGTGTATGAAGACCGAGTACCAAGGCCGTGGCACCCCGCACTGGCACATCTGCGCGTGGGTTGTATGCTTTGGGCTGTTGCAGTATCTCCAGGGGCGCACCGGGACGGCTGTCGTGTCGGCATTCGTCAAGTTCCTCTCGCTTGTATTCTGCGCCGAGATAGATGTTCAGATAGGCAACGGCCGGCTCAACTACATTTCAGGGTATGTCGCGAAGGACCACGATGCCGTCGACGTCGGGCTCGGCGAGTATGTGCAGAAGAATGCGAACAGCTCCTGGCTGACCGCGTATCGCTTGCTCAGCAAGAGCAGCCCGTGCCTGCCGGAAGTGGCCATCCGTTTGGCACAATTGTCGGAGTTTGAGCGGTCCTACTCTCATGTATTGCTGTATCCACCGCAGCCGGCAGCCATGGTGAATTACGACGGGCGGCAGGGTAACTTTTCCTCGAGGATGTATGGCTTTTACCTTCAGGAGAAGAGGGAGCAGCTGGTCGCAGGGGTTCCCGTATCGGACAGTTTCTTGGTATGGCACCGTGGCAGGGAGTACGATTCCAGCAACCACTGCGTGCATTTCCGTGGCGGCCGACATAATCAAAGGTATGAACCTACGCAAGTGGTCGCCTGCAGGTATTGGTACGAGCTGACGGACGGGTACTGGGGCCAGCATTCACTGACTATGCTGCCACATGTATACGCTTCACAATTACTCCCTCGGACGTTCAAATACCTGGACAGTATGAAGAATTTCGTGGGCATGATCGAGTATCTCATGTCCTGGAATTGGTCCGGCACTGTTGGTATCGTGGAGACGTCGTGTGATCTCAAATTCCACACTCAAGCGCTGCCGATGCGAGTGGGCGATGATGGCCAGATACTCACATTCGGCTCTGAGTATACTGCAGGAGAGCCCGTATTTGCCAATGACAGGGCAGCATTCGAGTATCTGCTCTCGCTGGCCCGACGCGATCTGCAATTTCGCGGTATGCGCGATGAGCGTGTCGGCTGCTTTGAGCAGAAGCAACATGCGAATTTTCTGCTGTATCAGCGTGTTTCTCGATGCAATAACGCGCCAGAGTATGAGTGCCTTCGGCAGGAGTGGGATACCTTGAACAGGCCGAAGTATCAGCAGCGCACGTGGAGCCCAGAGCAGGCTGATGCCATCGAGCGGGTCAAGAAGGCTGTGTCGCTGGAGGACGAGGAGGAGAAGCAGAACAGCAAGCGTTTCTTGTATATCTCTGGACCGCCCGGCAGTGGGAAGACGGCAGTATTGTTGGAGCTGGCCATTTGGGCATGTGAGTCTCTTCAGGTTTTGATCGCGTGCCCCACCGGGTATCTCGTGCACCAGTACAAGTCCAAGCTGCCCGACAGACCTGGTATTGAGAATATCCGAGTGGACACGATACAAGGAGTCTTGAAGTATAAGAGGGCCGGCAAGGACGGCAAGGTCCGCTGGGCCCCACCCTCGGCTTTGAGAAGTATTGATTTGATTCTTTGCGATGAAGGGAGCCAGTATGAAGACCAGGAATGGATGCGGTTTTTCGCCTCGGTGCGGGAGCAGCCGCACAAACCCTTCACTGCTATCGTGGCCGATTTTAAGCAGTTGCAGCCAGTATTGAGCGGGGGCCAGTGCGAGCACTTCTGCAACCAAATGGACAAGGTCGACTTGAAGACCGTGTATCGCACCGCTGACAAGCAGCACTTGGTTTTCCTGAATCGTATACGTGAGGCTCAGCCAGATCGAGCGGTTTTGACTGAGTATTTTGGAGACCGCCACTGGCATCATGAGTGCTTGGAGGCCTGTGTTGAGCGCGGTATGGCGTTGGCGGCGGAGAAAGGGCATCCGTTTTCTTGGCTCACGTGTACGAACGCGGGCTCGGCGGAGGTATGCAGAGCGGCGCTGGCATTACTCGGCATTAGTGAGGCCGATCTGAAAAAGGGTGGGTATTGCGACCCGACCACGAAGTCCGACTTACGCATTCTGGCCAGACCTGGTATCGTCATTCGCCTGAGTCGGAACTTTGACAAACAGCGGGGCTTTGTGAATGGGGCGTTGGCCACGGTATGCGAGTCGCTTCGTGGACACTCAGTGTTTACAGCCAGGCTGGTGGGTACGGGCAACATGGTATTGGTGCACCCCATCGAGGAGAACGGAGAGGTATTCCTGCCTTGCTGCTACGGGTATGCGACCACGGTGCGTCGAGCGCAGGGCGCGGATCTCTTTCACGGCTGTGTATATTTCGAGCAGAAGAAGAGAGTGGCTACGAGAGGGTATGGCTACGTTGCCTGCAGTCGCTTCAAGTCTCGCGAGGGCTGCCATGTATTCGGCAAGCTCCGCCGCAGTGACTTCCTGCCGGCTGGGCCCGAGCAGGAGGGCGAGATTTTGGAGCGCGGGTATGACTCTGTATCGTCATCTGACGACGAGGGGAAAGGCATGGAGTATGCTCTTGCAGATCAAGGTGAGTATGACGCGGACCCTGTTGTATCCATCGACACGGGCAACAACCTCGTGGACTTCCTCGTGAGCACAGAGGATCCGGCAGATGTATCCAAGACTGAGTGCAAGCGTACCCTTGCAGACTTTGCTGCAGGTGCCAGTGCGGAGGCTGGCGATGCTCCAGTGTATGAGGAGATGGGCGTATGCAGTGAGCTTCCAGTGAGGGAAGAAGTGTGGGGCGAGAACGGCGAGCTGCTGGTGTACGGCGGCACGGCGACGCCGGAGTGATCAATGTCGTATGGAGCTGGACGTCGACCAAAAAAATCAGGGCCCGCATGTATCATCTGCATCGAGCATCGTGGCGGCAACAACTTGCCCCAAAAATGTGACCACACGGTGTCTCTGTATCATGTCTGCCATACGCATCATGTGTAATACTGTATGAGTATCATGTGCAATGAGTAGTATTCTCAACAATTGCATGTGAGTCAGAATCTGCGCCCACAAATGTGACCCAATGTTGTTCCCATGTCTGGGATATCATTTGAAACATGTATGATTGCAACCACTCCATAGCATGTGAGCTAAAATTTGCCCCAAAAATGTGACCAACTTTTGGTTTTGTGTCTGTCCACATCTGCAACATGCATATACGTAGCGACCGGCATGTGAGGCAAAATTTGTATCCAAAGTGTGTGAGGCAGGAGTTGCCCCAAAAATGTGACCAATTTGTCTGCGTCATGTTTTTTTGTCATGTATATTATTATCACTGCATGTGAAGTCTATTTGCCCCAAAAATGTGATGAACTTCTCTGTCTAACGGCTAACATACGTACCAGTTGCAATATGCACATACGCGCTCATTGCATGTGAGCCACAATTTGCCCCAACAATGTGACCAACCGCTCTGGCTAATGGTCAACTTACGTATCCTGTGCAATATGTAATATGTAACCATAGCATGTGAGCCAAAAGTTGCCCCCAAAATGTGACTAACACTTGGTTTGTCTCGTATACTCCTCTGCAACATGTATGAGACGGGTCTGCATATCATGTGCACTGTGTATAAGATCTAACACTTCGAATTTGGATATCCATAGAAGAACAAATAGGACATCAATGAGGTCTCGGGGGCATCAAAAAATGTTCAGTATGCCTGGCTTTGTCGCATGTGCGGCGGCGGACTTCACTGTCTTGGGGCCACCACAGGCTTTCCTCGGGGTATCACAGGCTCTCTGGGGCCGGTCATTGGCCGTCTTCGGGCCCTCACACGCAGTCTGCGCTTCGCCGAGGGCTCTCCCCCAAAGTCCGTGCCACCATCATCATCATCATCATTATCATCAGTCTACCACACCGTGTGCACTATGTGTTATACGTATGGGTTGATAGCTGCAGCCATATACTCTCAAATTTGGCACGGTTGTTCCAGTCTGCCCACTCGGAAGTGTATTCCCTCCGGTTTCGTATGGCGCTCGACGGTTGCCCAGACTTCGCGCTGGCGTCCCAGTCTGGCACCGCGTCCCAGTCTGGCCCCGCGTCCCAGTCTGGTTCCGGGGAGAAGCCGACGGACCAGAAAAAGCGGGAGTGGCTGAGGGTATACGAGACGGCGCCCGCGCAGTTGCTCAACGTATACGGGCCTTCGAAGTTCGCGAAGCTGTCGGACAAGCAGGTATGGACACAGATGCAGGAGCCGCTGAAGAGTGGGGCCGTCTGGATGTCGGAGATGTGCAGCAAGGAGCCGGAGCGGAGGGGTGTCGGTATCAACCGTTTCATTCACGCGATGAAGACCTTCTGCGAGTATCAAAACGATCCTGCGGTCAAGAAGAACAACGAGGCGGTATTGAAGCCGCAGCTGTATGAGGAGTTGTACAAAGAGATTGACTATATCCTGCCGGCCTTGCAGTATTGCCTGGCTCCGAAAAAGCAGTATGAGAAGAAGGGTGCTGCTCTCCTGCGTTCGAGCGGCACGGAGGAGCAAGTGCAGGCGACCGGGAGGACGCCAGCGGAGCTGGACAAGTATGCGAAGCAGCTGTATGACTGGCTCGACAAGACTAAACTTTCGCGAGTGCGTATGATGGCCAATTGGCAAAGTTGCGGGGGGTTGTCCTTTGTTGCTCAATGCCATCATCGGGCTACCACCTGCTTCAGGTATCACGGCAACAGCTTTCACGGAGCTGGTCCATCGCAGCACGAGGTATCACTTGAAGAGTTCCAGGCCGGTGTGAAGCTTCGCCATTCGTTGGGCCACAACGGTATTGACGTGGAGGCGGTGAGCGAGGTCCGCGCCGTCAACGATTTCGGGGATGCTTGAGGGCACGGTATGCCAGGCTACTTTTCCACAGTAGTGTCTCGGTTTCTTCGTGTATGCTCCGACGTCCCGGGCGGCACGTATGCCAGAGTAGTGCCAGATGAAGAGCGGGGAGTGGCAAAAAAAAATGGCCGAAACATGTCACCTTCTGGTGTGTTGGTGTATGCTCCGACGTCCCGGGTGGCATAGCGGGCTGCCGCCGACGGCGACGGCGACGGCGACGGCGACGGCGACGGCGACGTCGACGGTGACGGAGACGGCGACGGAGACGGCGACGGCGAGGGTGATGGCGACGGCGGCGACGGCGACGGCGACGCCGACGGTAACGGAGCGTCGGCTTGCTTCGGCATCAGCTGCTTCAGCGTCGGCCTCAGCCTGCCTCAGCTTCAGCCTGTACCAGCCTCAGCCTCGGCCTCAGCCAGCCTGCTTCATCCCTCTGCCTCAGCTTCGGCCTCAGCCTGCCTCAGCCTTAGCCTCGGCCTCAGCCTCGGCCTCAGCCTGCCCCAGCCTCAGCCTCAGCCTGCCTCAGCCTCAGCCCCGCCCTGCCTCAGCCTCAGCCTCAGCCTTAGCCTCAGCTTGCCTCAGCCTCAGCCTGCCTCTGCTTCAGCCTCGGCCTCAGCGCAGCCCAAAATTTGCCCCAAAAATGTGACCAACTTTGGTCTCTGTCTCATGTCTATCATACGTCTCGTGTGCAATACGTGTCATACATAACATGTGAATGTGTGGCAAAACTGGCCTCAAAAATGTGACCACCTCTTGTGTGTACGTGTTTCATGTCTACTTCTTGTGCAAGATGTATCATATATAATAACATGTGTCCCAAAATCTGACCCAAAACTGTGACCAATTGTTGTGCGTCTTCCATGTCTGTCCTACGCCTCATGTGCCATACGTATCCTCTACTACATCCTCAGCCTGCCTCAGCCTCAGCCCCAGCCTGCCTCAGCCTCAGCCTCAGCCTGCTTCAGCCTCAGCCTGCCTCAGCCTCAGCCAGCCTATGCCTCAGCCTCAGCCTCAGCCTCAGCCCAAAATTTGCCCCAAAAATGTGACCAACTTTGGTCTCTGTGTCATGTCTATCATACGTCTCGTGTGTAATAAGTATCATACACTGTGCATGTGTGGCAAAACTTGCCCCAAAAATGTGACCAACTCTTGTGCGTACGTGTCTCATATCTACTTTCGTAAGAAGCAGTGTGGCTGTGAGGCACAATTTGCCCCAAACATAAAACCAACTTTTGTCTTCTGTCTCGCATACACACGTATCATGTGCAATTTGTATCCTACGTAAGAAGCAGTGTGACTGTGAGGCAACACTTGCCCCAAAAAGTGTGACCAACTTTTGTCTTCTGTCCATCATACGTATCATGTGCAACGTGTATCCTGCGTAAGAAGCAGTGTGGCTGTGAGGCAAAATCCCCAAAATTGATCAACTTCTGTGCCTCATGTTTCCCATACGTATCTTGGGCAATATGCATATCCACCGCATGTGAAGCACAATTTGCCCCAACAATGTGACCAACTTCTCTGTCTCATGGTCAACATACATATCATTTGCAATATGCATGTGTGTAATCATAGTATGTGAGCCATTGCCCAAAACATGTGAGCAACTTTTGTTTGTCTGGTATACGTCTCTGCGACATGTGTTACACGGGTCTGCATACGTATCATGGCCACTGTGTATGAGAGCTGCCATCTACATTGTTGGTTTCCAGAGAAAAACAAATAGGATATCAATGAGTTCTCGGGGTAACAAAAAATGTGATATCAGTATGCCTGGCTTTGTCGCATGTGCGGCGGTGGACTTCACAGGCCGTTACTGGCCGTCTTCGGGCCCTCACAGGCAGTCTGCGCCTCGCCGAGGGCACTCCCCGAAACCATCATCATTACCACCATCCTCACCATCATCACCACCACCATCATCATCACCTCCCTCATAGGCACTTTGGCTCAAGAGGGGGGTATTCTTGGCCACGTATAGCCTTGGCATGGAGTCCGCGGGGTATCTCTTCTTGCTGTCTTTCGTATTACTGCGTTTTACCAGAGGGCAGGCAGGAGTACCTGTCGTATGCGATTACATTTTGGATCAGTGGAGCGTATTCGTGCACGACTTCGATGCTTTCTGTTTAGGACTCGTCCGTCACTGCGACGCAGTATGCAAAAAAAAAGGTTGCTCCTATTTAGCCCATCGAGAAGGCTTGCATACTCAGTATTCCGGCTTGCACTTTATCCGTACACTTCGCAGGGTTCGTATACGACGGCGTCTTGTCGCATTTGCGGAGAAGTGGGCGCACTTAGCATCGGGGCTTCAGCGTCCCCGTGGCGACGGTATCCCCAGCGCGGACATCATGGCCATGGGGGACAGTATCCCGGACTACGTGGCCGTGGCCGTGCAGAAGAACAAGGTGAAGATGGCCGGTAAGTATAACAGCATGGACTGTATGAGGTGTTTTATGCACATGGTTGAGTATTGCATGGGCTTCACGCCTACGGAGTATACCGAGGAGCTGCATCAGTGGTTTCTGAAGCGGCAGTGTCGGAAGTGGGCACGCCATGCTGCTGCGGAGCTCGCGTATTTTGGCGTGGTTTCCTGCGACACAATGACCACAGCATTGGGTCGTATGAGGAAGGCTCTCAACAGCACGTCTCAAGTGAGCGTCGCGACCATGTATGTATTGTTCTGCGAGACGCGGCAGGCTATCAACAGGTATTCGTTGCATGGTGTTTGGTATCTCATTGACGCGTATGACAAGAGCAAGTCTGTGCGGGCAAACGTTTCGCGTGTCCGGCCTGGGCTAGTATCGACGCGTTGTCACACAATTCAGCTTTTGGAGGCGATCCGCAGCTGTGTGGGAGTATCGCTTGCTGTGCTGCGGACCTTGGGAGGTGGCGTATCAGACGGCGGACCTTGCGAGGTGGCGTATCAGCTCGGTCGCCGCCGTCTGTGTCCCAAGGTAGAATCTGACGGTATTCCAGAGCTCCGTGTGCTTGCGAGTTGTCTCAGCGTATTGACACAGAAGGTGCAGACGTATGCGAGGCAGCCTTCGCAGCAGTACCGCGGCTTGGTCAAGGCCGCCAAAGGTCTGGGTATCAAGTACGGGAAGTCGCATACGGTGAAGAAGCTCGCTCTGCTCGTGAAGCGAGGTATGCTGCAGCCTTCAGGCACCGGTGCGTGCAAACGGACGTACCAGGAGCTGGTATCCGCAGCGCACGCTCGCGGCGCCAGCGAGTATCAAAGAATTAAAGTGCAGGGAAGGTGGATCACCAGACGTGTATCCAAAGCCACGTTGGAAGCGCTGGTGGCTGAGCCCTAGGGGCGGTGCTCAGTTGTATAGGGCATTGTGGCAGACTTTGGGGTCAAGCAGAGCTGTATGAAAGAAGAGCCACCAGTAATGACATACACGTGCATCGAGAATCATGGGTATGGCAACGGCGACGGAGGCGGCGGCGGCGACGGCGAGGGTGACGGCGGCGACGGCGACGGCGACGGCGACGGCGACGGTGACGTATCGTCCTCAGCCTCAGCACCAGCCTGCCTCAGCGTCGGCCTCAGCCTGTCTCAGCCTCAGCTTGCATCAGCTCAGCGTGTCCCAGCCTCAGCCTGCTCCAGCTTCAGCTTCACCCTCAGCCTCGGCCTCAGCCTGCGTGAGCCTCTTTTGCTCTCATGTCTATCATACGTTTCATGTGCTATACGTATCATACATGACACGGGGATGTGTGTCAAAACGTGCCCCAGAAATGTGACCAACTCTGGTGTGTATGTGTCCCATGGCTAGCAGACGTATCATGTGCAATATGTATCATGTGCAACACGGCTCACGTGTAATATGTGCTCCGAGGGCTTTCCCACGGAATCGCCAGACCCATCTGGGGATCTTGGGAGGGCCTCCCAGGGCCCTGTGGTTATGTATTCTCTTTAGGCCTTCGGCCCCAGCCGCCAGACCTCTCTGGGTATCTGGGGGGTTCCCAGGGTCCGATTGTCTTAGTGGCTGTGACCCGATTCCCAGGGGAAGTTTATGAGGGCGTCTGGGGGGTTCCCAGGGGAAGTCTATGAGGCCTGTGGATTCAAATGAAAAGATGAAGTGAGTATGCCTGCTCTGGTCGCATGTGCGGCGGCGGATTTCGTCTTGCCGACGGCGCTCGCATGAGTGTTCTGCGTGTACGGTCGTATGGACTTTGGCATTTGGGCACATGTATGCGGTTTGCTTCTGTTTGTACGTAGCGGTTTCTGCTCAAGCCGCTTACTGTATATCGCGAGATCGTACCCTCATATTGCCGGCCTTCCGTATGGCTTCCCAGATGGCCGGTCGGCTCGACCCCGTGACGGGCGAGTATTACCCAAGCGATGATGAAGTGCGCTACAGTATGGAGCGCTGGCACACGCCACCCAACGACGAGGCGTATGCGCGGCGCTGGCTCAAACAGTGTGGCTCGGAGAGGTGGTTCGCGTGCGGTATCTTCTTCCCTATTCTATGGGAGGGTGTCAAGGGCGTATGCCTCGCCGTATCGAGCGGCATGTCCACGAGGCAGTCGAAGACGAACAACGACCCGGACTACCAGCACAGTATGGGGGGCATCCCCGAGCCGGATTGGCTTTACTTCGAGGCCTTCTTCTACGCGCACGCGGTATTCGGGAATTTCTCGGTATTCCAGGATGAGAGGCTTGGGAAGCCCATTGGCTATCTTCTGCACGTATTCGACACGCTATGCACCGGGCGAGGTATCGTCGCCTGGAAAGCCAACCTTTTCGTCCACCCGGGCCAGTGGGTGTATAGCAGTATGCGGTATTTGCTCGGTCAGCTCGGTATTCCCATTCATGCGGAGATCGTATCCGGCCTCTCCTACAGGGCCCTCGCCACCTTGGACGTATTCATTGCGTATCACGCGGCCTTCATGGGTACGGACCCGCAGAAAATGGCCATTTGGAACGTATCTCCTGAGGTCGGCCCAGAGATGAAGTATCCGCGTCAAGACCAGTGGTGGTGGTTGCCCGTATGGCGGTC